GCAAAGTGATGTATTGCATATTCAGATATTCATTCTACAAAATATTCTTGGGGCCATGAAACTTTTGTGAAAATGGTCAGAAATGCAAGCAGTGGCAACTTATATATATATATATATATGAAGAGTTCAGATGCAAAAGCCTCTAAATGCCATTTGAAATTTACTTCTTTAATGATGATTTTTATCAAACTTTTATATTTAAGTTCAGTAATTTCACTTAAATGGCAATGATAATTACCTATTAATTGTTAGTTAAGTGGAATTACTGAACTTAAATATGTAAGTTTGACAAAAATCATCATTAAAGAAGAAAATTTCAAATGGCATTTAGAGGCTTTTGCATCTGAACTCTTCATATATATATATATATATATTAGGGCTGTGCAAAAAATTATTGCGATTAATCGCATCCAAAATAAAAGTCTGTGTTTACATAATATATTTGTGTGTGCTGTATATAATTATTTTGTATATATAAGTACACACACATGCATGTATATATTTAAGAAAATGTGTTATTCTTATATAAAATATTTATATTTATATAATATAGATTATGTATATATATATATATATATATATATATATATATATATACAGAATTTAAGTGCAAATAATTCTTAAATATATACATGCATGCGTAGGTATTTATATATACAAAATAATTATATACAGCACACACAAATATATTATGTAAACACAGACTTTTATTTTGGATGTGATTAATCACAATTCATTTTTGCACAGCCCTAATATGTATATATATATATGAATAGTTCAGATGCAAAAGCCTCTAAATGCCATTTGAAATTTTCTTCTTTAATGATGATTTTTATCAAACTTGTATTTTTAAGTTCAGTAATTCCACTTAAATAACAATTAATAGGTAATTATCATTGCCATTTTAGTGAAATCACTGAACTTAAATATACAAGCTTTATAAAAATAATCATTCCAGAAGAAAATTTCAAATGGCCCTTAGAGGCTTTTGCATCTGAACTCTTCTTCATATATATATAAATATAACACTGGCAAAAACAAACAAAATAAAACACTTCAGAAAAATCTGAAACATGCATGTCATGTGACTATGAAGTAAATATCAGAACATAATGAACAAATGAATGTGTCTGATACAGTGATGATGAAGAGTCAGAGAGATTCCTAACATGAAATAATTGAATGGTCAGTCAGATAAACTCAGAATAATCCAGCATGTGCAACAGTGTGCTCTCTAAACACGACCAAGAGCTGAGGAAAACACTACACTGATAACAAACTCCAACACCAGCGGCTGTCGTGGTGTAACAGACAGGGAGTTTTTGTATGACAGAAGAAGAATCGTTACCTCATCTCTTTTATGGTTGTTCATTCTGCATTACATTTTGGAAAAATGTTGAAAGTTACCTGTCTTTCAAAAGAAAGAAAACAATAACAATTGAAGGGAAACAGATTATTACATATTTTGATTGTAGAGATAGTAGTTTGTGTAATGTTGGCAAATTCCATATTCACAAAGCGAAATTCTCTAAAGCAAAGCCATGTTTTACATTTTTTCAAATGGAAACTGACATATATTTTGAGTCTCTGATAAGGGTTAAAAATAAGAAAGCGATATCAGCAACTGAATTATACTCTAAAATATTTAAGTGAAAATCTAGGAATATATTATGGAATACATAAGTCTGTCTATTTAAGCTATGTATTTTTATTTTTTTATTTTTTATTTTTTTATCTATTTTTTCAATTAATTTTATTCTGATGTTTATTTATTTATTTATTTATTTTTGCTATATAATTTCTGTTTACGAACTGTGATGATTGTATGTTTGTAATCTGCATTCTAACAAAAAAAAAAAGACAACAGGAAATAATGAGAAGCAAAATAAAAGTCCATGAGAATGAGAAACTAAACAGAGTTTGTGACAGTGTCATTAAATGACTGAAATATTAACTTAATATCTCAAGAAGATGTTTCTCTTTAGAAAGTTTTTGATAGTCTTTGTTTTGTTTAGTTTTTTATCTCTGTATAATCGAATCAAATGTTTAAGATGAACCACTGAAGAAAGCACAGGTTGTGTTTATGTGGAGACGATGATTGTTTGCTACTTGATTTCCTAATGAGTGGATAACAGGCTGTCAGGCTCCTGTGAGCGCGCGGCACCCCGTCACACACACACACGCGC